CACGTGCCCTCCCCGCGGCTCACCGCAGAGCCCCGCAGCTGGACCTGACTGGTTGTCCGTCAGCTGGAGCATCAGGTCCTGGTTTAGAGCTCAGGCTGGAGAGGTTCTGGGTCTCCTGTTTTCTGTTTGAAGTCCAACATGAGGGTTCTGGTGGACAGCCGTCTCTAGGTTAACCAGATGTTGAGCTCCTTTCTTCTTCTGGGTTTAAAGATCAGAACAACTCAGGAGAACTTTAGTTGGACCGGCAGACGTTAAAGTTCTAACCGAGGAACCCAGTCGTCTAGGAGCTGGCTCCGGTCCTCCTCACCTGTGAGGTCAGCTGAGGCCTGACCCGGTGCTGGTTTGGTTTCAGAAGACTGGCCCGATCCCAACACTCGCACGTCCTCACTTGGGTGAAGGGTCACTCACAACCCATTTCTGAATGTTTTCTAATGAAAGAGTGGGTCTGAGCACGGGTCTCTGCATGTTTCAGACCAAGCAGCGATGAGTTAAATTCATGTGGAGTAACTGTTTGGTTGAAAGTTGTTAATAAAGGTTTTTCAAACCCGCAGCACAGCGACCAGAACCCCGGCACGCGCTGCCGTCGATGACACAACGCTCCCGGTCTCGGTTCGGCACTTACTTGTGTGGCGAGGTGGAGAAGGGAGGGCCCGGGCGGGATTCGATCCCCAGACTCCCGGGTGAGGGACATCCCCTTGGCCAAGTAGCCCGGGAGCACGGTCAGTCGGGACCCTGACGGGACGCTCACACTTGCACACTTGTGCACCTCGCACTCGGAGCCTTGCTGCACACTTTGTCCAAGTGCACTTTGCTGAAGGCAGTGTTGGGAGTGGGCCTTGTTCTCTCACCCTAACCCTAGACACGCACAAACTCTGATCCGGAGTGCTCCAGGCTCAGCAGAACCTCCTGCTGTAACTCATCATTTGGACTCCGTCCGTTTCTTGCGGTTCTGACTCACGGTTTGAGTACTGGGCTGTTGTCTGGTCCAAGTTCCAGCTGTCAGACGGGCTCACCTTTCAGGAGCTCCTGGTGGACCCAGTGAGTCCAGTAGCTGCAGAACCAGGACCTGGACTCGGACCTGAATGGAATGGATCGGGTCTCTTGACTCCATCCAAAACATTTGAACCATGACTCATCTTGCTGTCATGTGCTGGGCGGAGCCTGTCCAGGCCATTGGAACTAACCAATCAGAATGATTGAAACAAATCAATAAACTGAAGGAAATGAGGTTTGAGTGAACTCACTCCGTGGTTCTGACCTGTTTCACCGAGTCAGCAGCCAGCTTGATACAGAGTTTGTTCCTGTGGGTTCTACAGAAGTTTCGGCTCGGTTCTGAGTCCGCTTGTGTGAGATGTGAGCTTCCTGTTTCCTGTTTACCAAAATAAAAGCTCCACCCGTCTCTTGTTACTGCTGCATCTCAGAATATTTAGTCAAACCTACAGGATCACAAAAACCCGTTAAACACCGGTGTTCTGATTCCTTCATGATGTGAATCAGCTGGTAACAGAGTTCTAAAGAGGTCAAAGGTCAGTACAGTTTGACCTGAAGTTTCTGTTTTCCAGCGGAATTTTATTCAGAACTATTTCTGCTTGTTTTCAGCTGGAGTTTCGGTTCTGGTTCTGAGGTTTGTTCCGGTTCTAGGAATGTGTTTCCTGTTTCTTCTCCCTGGGGCGTGGAGCCTTGTGTTTCCGGTTCTCCTGGTATTCATACAGGAGAGGTCCTTCAGGAACGCACGAGAAACTCCTGCAGACAGTCCAGCTGAAGCCCAGACACCACAGATGGTTCTGACCCAGGTTCATCTTATCCCGCTCTTCACATGGACCCATGGCACCACAGATGAACTGTTTACAGAACCACGATCAGATTACAGGACCAGGATCAGATTACAGGGCCAGGGTCAGATTACAGGACCAGGATCAGATTACAGAACCAGGATCAGATTACAGGACCAGGATCAGATTACAGGACCAGGATCAGATTACAGGGCCAGGATCAGATTACAGGACCAGGATCAGATTACAGGACCAGGATCAGATTACAGGACCAGGATCAGATTACAGGACCAGGATCAGATTACAGGGCCAGGATCAGATTACAGGACCAGGATCAGATTACAGGACCAGGATCAGATTACAGGACCAGGATCAGATTACAGGGCCAGGATCAGATTACAGGATCAGATTAGATCAGGATCAGATTACAGGACCGGGCTCAGATTACAGGACCAGGATCAGATTACAGGACCAGGATCAGATTACAGGGCCAGGATCAGATTACAGGACCAGGATCAGATTACAGGACCAGGATCAGATTACAGGGCCAGGATCAGATTACAGGATCAGGATCAGATTAGATCAGGATCAGATTACAGGACCAGGATCAGATTACAGGACCAGGATCAGATTACAGGGCCAGGATCAGATTACAGGATCAGGATCAGATTAGATCAGGATCAGATTACAGGACCGGGCTCAGATTACAGGACCAGGATCAGATTACAGGACCAGGATCAGATTACAGGACCAGGATCAGATTAGATCGGGATCAGATTACAGGACCGGGCTCAGATTACAGGACCAGGATCAGATTACAGAACCAGGATCAGATTACAGGACCAGGATCAGATTAGAAGAACGGGATCAGATTACAGGACCAGGATCCGATTACAGAACAAGGATCAGATTACAGGACCAGGATCAGATTACAGGGCCAGGATCAGATTAGAGGACTGGGATCAGATTAGAGGACCAGGATCAGATTAGAGGACCAGGATCAGATTAGAAGATCAGGATCAGATTATAGGACCAGGATCAGATTACAGGACCAGGATCAGATTAGAAGAACGGGATCAGATTACAGGACCAGGATCCGATTACAGAACAAGGATCAGATTACAGGACCAGGATCAGATTACAGGGCCAGGATCAGATTAGAGGACTGGGATCAGATTAGAGGACCAGGATCAGATTAGAGGACCAGGATCAGATTAGAGGACTGGGCTGAGATTACTGGATCAGAAGTAGGGATGTCCCGATACAACCTTTTCACTTCCGATACAATACAGATATTACAGCCTTATCGGGGTACTGACCGATACCGATATCCGTCTGATACGATATCAGCACCAATCATACAGACTTTACCTGTTCCATGGTTTGGAGCACATGAAAGGCCTGATCAGGTGATGTAGCTCGGAAAACAAGCAAAACTGAACCGTAACAGACCGCTTATATCGGAGATTTTTGATGCCGTTCGATATAATCTGATGCACTGTTTTTGGGCCGATATCAAATTACTTCTGATATCGATATCAAATTACTTCTGATATCGATATCAAATTACTTCTGATATCGATATCAAATTACTTCTGATATCGATATCAAATTACTTCTGATATCGATATCAAATTACTTCTGATACCGATATCAAATTACTTCTGATATCGATATCAAATTACTTCTGATATCGATATCAAATTACTTCTGATATCGATATCAGAATGGGACATTCCTCATCAGGATCAGATAAGTAATCCAATTACAGACCTTTTGTGCTCTTAATCCCATGTCAGTGATAATAAAGTTGTATAATTTCTTCGTCCAGATGTTAGTGATTTCATAGGGTTAGGATTAAGATTATGTCGAGTCATTTGTCTAATAGACTTTTTAATAAAAGCCCAGGTGACCCGAGTGAGACAGAAACCGGGACTTTGGCCTTTTCAGATGATCTCCAAACATGTGCTGCAATCTAATAATCCGTCTTCTAAAGCGTCCAGCTGCAGATTGTCCCCGAGCTTCTGCAGAACCTTTTATGGCCCACATTCTCCGAGTTCCGCTAAAAATAAACCCGGGCTGAGCTGGAGCAGGAGGAGGAGCGCCATGCTGGTTGTTGTTTGTGGAGTGAACAGCTGATCATGTGACGTTGTTGTTGTTGACTCTCACCAAGAGCAGGACTGATGTGTCAAACAAACACTTCTCATCAAAACAAAGGAAAGACAAAAATAACAGATCTGAATGAATGGAATATTGTGTAACCCTTTACAATAAGAGTCCCTTCATTAACAATACTTAACGCGTTATTAAGCATTAATAGGCTATTAAATAAAGTATTAACAACTGTAAATCATATTATGTAATGCATTACTAAGCAGCCCCCCCCCCCCCCCCCCCCCCCCCGGACCTTTGTCCGAAGCTTCAGGACACTTAATAAATAAAAATAACAGGGACGTTAATAAAGGGAACCTTATTGCAAAGTGTTACCAAACACCTTTACTTAATACTACCCTTACAAAGCTGAATGTGCGGACAACAAAATCACACAAAAACTTCCGGTGGAAATCAAATTCATCCATCCACGGTCTGGTTTCACCTCCACAAGCGGAACAGCGCTACAGGCTGGCCCAGCTGTGATGCACAGTCCTTAAAACAAGTCAGAATGAGGCTCAGTAGTGGGTGTGGCCTCTGTATGACCTCCTCACAGCGCCTGGACATGCTCCTGACGAGGTGGCAGATTCAATAGGTAGCCCAAGTCTCCTCCCTTTCCGGGTTGCTCACGGGTTCCCGGAAGAATGAAAAACAAAAGCAAGCCAACGAGGCTGAAAACGCTGTTTTCTAACCGGCTCTGCCTCGCGCCCTGGATCACCCACGCTGTACTGTAACGTAAATGAAAAGTACTGATGGGGTTTCGACCACGCCAGTCACGGACTTTTAGATTTATCAGCTTGTAAAAGTTCGTAATTAGCGTGACTACACACCAGGAATCGGTACGTCGCATATGTGACGTCACCACATAAGCTCCTCCCCCCTAGCGTAGCTGCTACTCACCACATGACCAGATTCATGGTGGTTCTTTCCTCCTGTGGGAAGTTTGCTGAACTTCCAGCCTTTTCCCTCGGTTTCTCCATGTCTGGTTCGATGACGTCACTCTGGTGAAGCGTTTGTAGTCCTGGACTTATTTTCACACAACACCTAAAATATCGTTCCCCCGTTAGAAAATAAACGTGTTCTTGGTATCAAAATGTGTTTTAAAATTCACGTACTCGTGTGAAATCCATGGCACAACACAAGTGGAATTAGAAAATAGCATTTTTAGCCCGTAAGCTTGCACTCATGTTTTTGTTCTTCCGGGGAACCGTGATGTGGTGTAGGTGGGCGGGGCTTAGGCTCCCTATGAGTGGTCTCCTGAGGGATCTCCTCCCAGACCTGGACTAATGCATTCTCCAAATCCTGGAATGGCTGTGGTACAATGGTGCCAACTTAAAAATTATAACATATTTAAAAATAAAACCATAATTAATTTATTTTGGATGCCTAACTCCTCCATCTTCGCCCTGTATCAGAAACAACTGGCACATCCCTTGACTTGTGAAGCCTTTCCTGTCTGAGTGAATGAATTAGCGGTCAGGTGTCCTCCAAAATCCTTCATCAGGTTTTGTTTGTGGTTCTGGTTCTGGTAACAGCTTCTGATAACTAACAGGGCTGCTGTTTGTCCTGCAGCTCTACCCCTGCAATCGGACTCTCAGTCTATCCAGAATGAGAAGAACTCAGGAAAAGATCTTCTGACTCCAGAAGACTCAGCTGTTTCAGACTTGTCCCATAAATCAGACACTGTCTCAAAGACATTCTCCTCCAGGACTGAAGCCAGACCTTACAGCCCCGGGTCCACACCCGGCCCCTGCAGCAGCCCACAGCCCAAGAAAGGTATGTTGGAGCTCTCGGAAGGTTGTTTCACAGCTTTCACACCAGAGTTTAAAAATGCACTCAGTAGTTTGATCAGAATCTGCACAGCCTAAAGTGGACTCAGCACATTTCCACACACTTTACTCACTACTGTCTGATTTACTCACTAGTGTCTGATTTACTCACTACTGTCTGATTTACTCACTAGTGTCTGATTTACTCTCTAGTGTCTGATTTACTCACTAGTGTCTGATTTACTCACTAGTGTCTGATTTACTTTCTAGTGTCTGATTTACTCTCTAGTGTTTGATTTACTCACTAATGTCTGATTTACTCACTACTGTCTGATTTACTCACTAGTGTCTGATTTACTCACTACTGTCTGATTTACTCACTAGTGTCTGATTTACTCACTACTGTCTGATTTACTCACTAGTGTCTGATTTACTCTCTAGTGTCTGATTTACTCACTAGTGTTTGATTTACTCTCTAGTGTCTGATTTACTCACTAGTGTCTGATTTACTCACTACTGTCTGATTTACTCACTAGTGTCTGATTTACTCACTACTGTCTGATTTACTCACTAGTGTCTGATTTACTCACTACTGTCTGATTTACTCACTAGTGTCTGATTTACTCACTAGTGTCTGATTTACTTTCTAGTGTCTGATTTACTCTCTTGTGTTTGATTTACTCACTAGTGTCTGATTTACTCACTACTGTCTGATTTACTCACTAGTGTCTCATTTACTCACTAGTGTCTGATTTACTCAACAGTGTCTGATTTACTCACTACTGTCTGATTTACTCACTAGTGTCTGATTTACTCTCTAGTGTCTGATTTACTCACTAGTGTCTGATTTACTTTCTATTGTCTGATTTACTCACTAGTGTCTGATTTACTTTCTATTGTCTGATTTACTCACTAGTGTCTGATTTACTCTCTAGTGTCTGATTTACTCACTAGTGTCTGATTTACTCTCTAGTGTCTGATTTACTCACTAGTGTCTGATTTACTTTCTATTGTCTGATTTACTCACTAGTGTCTGATTTACTCTCTAGTGTCTGATTTACTCACTACTGTCTGATTTACTCACTAGTGTCTGATTTACTCTCTAGTGTCTGATTTACTCACTAGTGTCTGATTTACTTTCTAGTGTCTGATTTACTCTCTAGTGTCTGATTTACTCACTAGTGTCTGATTTACTCACTAGTGTCTGATTTACTCACTAGTGTCTGATTTACTCACTAGTGTTTGATTTACTCACTAGTGTCTGATTTACTCTCTACTGTCTGATTTACTCACTAGTGTCTGATTTACTCACTAGTGTCTGATTTACTTTCTAATGTCTGATTTACTTTCTAGTGTTTGATTTACTCACTAGTGTCTGATTTACTCACTACTGTCTGATTTACTCTCTAGTGTCTGATTTTCTCACTAGTGTCTGATTTACTTTCTAGTGTCTGATTTACTCTCTAGTGTTTGATTTACTCACTAGTGTCTGATTTACTCACTACTGTCTGATTTACTCACTAGTGTCTGATTTACTCTCTAGTGTCTGATTTACTCTCTAGTGTTTGATTTACTCACTAGTGTCTGATTTACTCACTACTGTCTGATTTACTCACTAGTGTCTGATTTACTCACTAGTGTCTGCTTTACTTTCTAGTGTCTGATTTACTTTCTAGTGTTTGATTTACTCACTAGTGTCTGATTTACTCACTACTGTCTGATTTACTCTCTAGTGTCTGATTTACTCACTAGTGTCTGATTTACTTTCTAGTGTCTGATTTACTCTCTAGTGTTTGATTTACTCTCTAGTGTCTGATTTACTCACTAGTGTCTGATTTACTCACTAGTGTCTGATTTACTCTCTAGTGTTTGATTTACTCTCTAGTGTTTGATTTACTCATTACTGTCTGATTTACTCACTACTGTCTGATTTACTCACTAGTGTCTGATTTACTTTCTAGTGTCTGATTTACTCTCTAGTGTTTGATTTACTCACTAGTGTCTGATTTACTCACTAGTGTCTGATTTACTCTCTAGTGTTTGATTTACTCTCTAGTGTTTGATTTACTCACTAGTGTCTGATTTACTCACTAGTGTCTGATTTACTCACTATTGTCTGATTTACTCACTAGTACCTGATTTACTCACTAGTGTCTCATTTTCTCAATATTGTCTGATTTATTCACTAATGTCTGATTTACTCACTAATGTTTGATTTACTCACTAGTGTCTGATTTACTCACTAGTGTCTGATTTACTCACTATTGTCTGATTTACTCACTAGTGTTTGATTTACTCACTAGTGTCTGATTTACTCACTATTGTCTGATTTACTCACTAGTGTCTGATTTACTAACTAGTGTCTGATTTACTCACTATTGTCTGATTTACTCACTAGTACCTGATTTACTCACTAGTGTCTCATTTTCTCAGTATTGTCTGATTTATTCACTAATGTCTGATTTACTCACTAATGTCTGATTTACTCACTATTGTCTGATTTACTCACTAGTGTTTGATTTACTCACTAGTGTCTGATTTACTCACTAGTGTCTGATTTACGCATTATTGTCTGATTTACTCACTAGTGTCTGATTTACTAACTAGTGTCTGATTTACTCACTAGTGTCTGATTTCCTCACTAGTGTCTGATTTACTCACTAGTGTCTCATTTTCTCAATATTGTTTGATTTGCTCACTAATGTTTGATTTACTCACTAGTGTCTGATTTGCCCTCTAGTGTCTGATTTACTCACTAGTGTCTGATTTACTCACTATTGTCTGATTTACTCACTAATGTTTGATTTACTCACTATTGTCTGATTTACTCACTAATGTTTGATTTACTCACTAGTGTCTGATTTACTCACTATTGTCTGATTTACTCACTAGTGTCTGATTTACTCACTAGTGTCTGATTTACTCACTATTGTCTGATTTACTCACTAGTGTCTGATTTACTCACTATTGACTGATTTACTCACTAGTGTCTCATTTTCTCAATATTGTTTGACTTATTCACTAATGTCTGATTTACTCACTAGTGTCTGATTTACTCTCTAGTGTCTGATTTACTCACTAGTGTCTGATTTACTCACTATTGTCTGATTTACTCACTATTGTCTGATTTACTCACTATTGTTTGATTTACTCACTAATGTTTGATTTACTCACTAGTGTCTGATTTACTCACTAGTGTCTGATTTACTCACTAATGTCTGATTTACTCACTAATGTTTGATTTACTCACTAGTGTTTGATTTACTCTCTAGTGTCTGATTTACTCACTAGTGTCTGATTTACTCACTAGTGTCTGATTTACTCTCTAGTGTTTGATTTACTCTCTAGTGTTTGATTTACTCATTACTGTCTGATTTACTCACTACTGTCTGATTTACTCACTAGTGTCTGATTTACTTTCTAGTGTCTGATTTACTCTCTAGTGTTTGATTTACTCACTAGTGTCTGATTTACTCACTAGTGTCTGATTTACTCTCTAGTGTTTGATTTACTCTCTAGTGTTTGATTTACTCACTAGTGTCTGATTTACTCACTAGTGTCTGATTTACTCACTATTGTCTGATTTACTCACTAGTACCTGATTTACTCACTAGTGTCTCATTTTCTCAATATTGTCTGATTTATTCACTAATGTCTGATTTACTCACTAATGTTTGATTTACTCACTAGTGTCTGATTTACTCACTAGTGTCTGATTTACTCACTATTGTCTGATTTACTCACTAGTGTTTGATTTACTCACTAGTGTCTGATTTACTCACTATTGTCTGATTTACTCACTAGTGTCTGATTTACTAACTAGTGTCTGATTTACTCACTATTGTCTGATTTACTCACTAGTACCTGATTTACTCACTAGTGTCTCATTTTCTCAGTATTGTCTGATTTATTCACTAATGTCTGATTTACTCACTAATGTCTGATTTACTCACTATTGTCTGATTTACTCACTATTGTCTGATTTACTCACTAGTGTTTGATTTACTCACTAGTGTCTGATTTACTCACTAGTGTCTGATTTACGCATTATTGTCTGATTTACTCACTAGTGTCTGATTTACTAACTAGTGTCTGATTTACTCACTAGTGTCTGATTTCCTCACTAGTGTCTGATTTACTCACTAGTGTCTCATTTTCTCAATATTGTTTGATTTGCTCACTAATGTTTGATTTACTCACTAGTGTCTGATTTGCCCTCTAGTGTCTGATTTACTCACTAGTGTCTGATTTACTCACTATTGTCTGATTTACTCACTAATGTTTGATTTACTCACTATTGTCTGATTTACTCACTAATGTTTGATTTACTCACTAGTGTCTGATTTACTCACTATTGTCTGATTTACTCACTAGTGTCTGATTTACTCACTAGTGTCTGATTTACTCACTATTGTCTGATTTACTCACTAGTGTCTGATTTACTCACTATTGACTGATTTACTCACTAGTGTCTCATTTTCTCAATATTGTTTGACTTATTCACTAATGTCTGATTTACTCACTAGTGTCTGATTTACTCTCTAGTGTCTGATTTACTCACTAGTGTCTGATTTACTCACTATTGTCTGATTTACTCACTATTGTCTGATTTACTCACTATTGTTTGATTTACTCACTAATGTTTGATTTACTCACTAGTGTCTGATTTACTCACTAGTGTCTGATTTACTCACTAATGTCTGATTTACTCACTAATGTTTGATTTACTCACTAGTGTCTGATTTACTCACTAGTGTCTGATTTACTCACTAGTGTCTGATTTACTCACTATTGTCTGATTTACTCACTAATGTTTGATTTACTCACTATTGTCTTATTTACTCACTATTGTCTGATTTACTCACTAATGTTTGATTTACTCACTAGTGTCTGATTTACTCACTAGTGTCTGATTTACTCACTAATGTCTGATTTACTCACTAATGTTTGATTTACTCACTAGTGTCTGATTTACTCACTAGTGTCTGATTTACTCACTAGTGTCTGATTTACTCACTATTGTCTGATTTACTCACTAATGTTTGATTTACTCACTAGTGTTTGATTTACTCACTAGTGTCTGATTTACTCACTAATGTTTGATTTACTCACTAGTGTTTGATTTACTCACTATTGTCTTATTTACTCACTAGTGTCTGATTTACTCACTATTGTCTGATTTACTCACTAATGTTTGATTTACTCACTAGTGTTTGATTTACTCACTATTGTCTGATTTACTCACTAGTGTCTGATTTACTCACTACTGTCTGATTTACTCACTAGTGTCTGATTTACTCACTAGTGTCTGATTTACTTTCTAGTGTCTGATTTACTCTCTTGTGTTTCATTTACTCACTAGTGTCTGATTTACTCACTACTGTCTGATTTACTCACTAGTGTCTCATTTACTCACTAGTGTCTGATTTACTCACTAGTGTCTGATTTACTCACTACTGTCTGATTTACTCACTAGTGTCTGATTTACTCTCTAGTGTCTGATTTACTCACTAGTGTCTGATTTACTTTCTATTGTCTGATTTACTCACTAGTGTCTGATTTACTTTCTATTGTCTGATTTACTCACTAGTGTCTGATTTACTCTCTAGTGTCTGATTTACTCACTAGTGTCTGATTTACTCCCTAGTGTCTGATTTACTCACTAGTGTCTGATTTACTTTCTATTGTCTGATTTACTCACTAGTGTCTGATTTACTCTCTAGTGTCTGATTTACTCACTACTGTCTGATTTACTCACTAGTGTCTGATTTACTCTCTAGTGTCTGATTTACTCACTAGTGTCTGATTTACTTTCTAGTGTCTGATTTACTCTCTAGTGTCTGATTTACTCACTAGTGTCTGATTTACTCACTAGTGTCTGATTTACTCACTAGTGTCTGATTTACTCACTAGTGTTTGATTTACTCACTAGTGTCTGATTTACTCTCTACTGTCTGATTTACTCACTAGTGTCTGATTTACTCACTAGTGTCTGATTTACTTTCTAATGTCTGATTTACTTTCTAGTGTTTGATTTACTCACTAGTGTCTGATTTACTCACTACTGTCTGATTTACTCTCTAGTGTCTGATTTTCTCACTAGTGTCTGATTTACTTTCTAGTGTCTGATTTACTCTCTAGTGTTTGATTTACTCACTAGTGTCTGATTTACTCACTACTGTCTGATTTACTCACTAGTGTCTGATTTACTCTCTAGTGTCTGATTTACTCTCTAGTGTTTGATTTACTCACTAGTGTCTGATTTACTCACTACTGTCTGATTTACTCACTAGTGTCTGATTTACTCACTAGTGTCTGCTTTACTTTCTAGTGTCTGATTTACTTTCTAGTGTTTGATTTACTCACTAGTGTCTGATTTACTCACTACTGTCTGATTTACTCTCTAGTGTCTGATTTACTCACTAGTGTCTGATTTACTTTCTAGTGTCTGATTTACTCTCTAGTGTTTGATTTACTCTCTAGTGTCTGATTTACTCACTAGTGTCTGATTTACTCACTAGTGTCTGATTTACTCTCTAGTGTTTGATTTACTCTCTAGTGTTTGATTTACTCATTACTGTCTGATTTACTCACTACTGTCTGATTTACTCACTAGTGTCTGATTTACTTTCTAGTGTCTGATTTACTCTCTAGTGTTTGATTTACTCACTAGTGTCTGATTTACTCACTAGTGTCTGATTTACTCTCTAGTGTTTGATTTACTCTCTAGTGTTTGATTTACTCACTAGTGTCTGATTTACTCACTAGTGTCTGATTTACTCACTATTGTCTGATTTACTCACTAGTACCTGATTTACTCACTAGTGTCTCATTTTCTCAATATTGTCTGATTTATTCACTAATGTCTGATTTACTCACTAATGTTTGATTTACTCACTAGTGTCTGATTTACTCACTAGTGTCTGATTTACTCACTATTGTCTGATTTACTCACTAGTGTTTGATTTACTCACTAGTGTCTGATTTACTCACTATTGTCTGATTTACTCACTAGTGTCTGATTTACTAACTAGTGTCTGATTTACTCACTATTGTCTGATTTACTCACTAGTACCTGATTTACTCACTAGTGTCTCATTTTCTCAGTATTGTCTGATTTATTCACTAATGTCTGATTTACTCACTAATGTCTGATTTACTCACTATTGTCTGATTTACTCACTAGTGTTTGATTTACTCACTAGTGTCTGATTTACTCACTAGTGTCTGATTTACGCATTATTGTCTGATTTACTCACTAGTGTCTGATTTACTAACTAGTGTCTGATTTACTCACTAGTGTCTGATTTCCTCACTAGTGTCTGATTTACTCACTAGTGTCTCATTTTCTCAATATTGTTTGATTTGCTCACTAATGTTTGATTTACTCACTAGTGTCTGATTTGCCCTCTAGTGTCTGATTTACTCACTAGTGTGTGATTTACTCACTATTGTCTGATTTACTCACTAATGTTTGATTTACTCACTATTGTCTGATTTACTCACTAATGTTTGATTTACTCACTAGTGTCTGATTTACTCACTATTGTCTGATTTACTCACTAGTGTCTGATTTACTCACTAGTGTCTGATTTACTCACTATTGTCTGATTTACTCACTAGTGTCTGATTTACTCACTATTGACTGATTTACTCACTAGTGTCTCATTTTCTCAATATTGTTTGATTTATTCACTAATGTCTGATTTACTCACTAGTGTCTGATTTACTCTCTAGTGTCTGATTTACTCACTAGTGTCTGATTTACTCACTATTGTCTGATTTACTCACTATTGTCTGATTTACTCACTATTGTTTGATTTACTCACTAATGTTTGATTTACTCACTAGTGTCTGATTTACTCACTAGTGTCTGATTTACTCACTAATGTCTGATTTACTCACTAATGTTTGATTTACTCACTAGTGTCTGATTTACTCACTAGTGTCTGATTTACTCACTAGTGTCTGATTTACTCACTATTGTCTGATTTACTCACTAATGTTTGATTTACTCACTATTGTCTTATTTACTCACTATTGTCTGATTTACTCACTAATGTTTGATTTACTCACTAGTGTCTGATTTACTCACTAGTGTCTGATTTACTCACTAATGTCTGATTTACTCACTAATGTTTGATTTACTCACTAGTGTCTGATTTACTCACTAGTGTCTGATTTACTCACTAGTGTCTGATTTACTCACTATTGTCTGATTTACTCACTAATGTTTGATTTACTCACTAGTGTTTGATTTACTCACTAGTGTCTGATTTACTCACTAATGTTTGATTTACTCACTAGTGTTTGATTTACTCACTATTGTCTTATTTACTCACTAGTGTCTGATTTACTCACTATTGTCTGATTTACTCACTATTGTCTGATTTACTCACTAATGTTTGATTTACTCACTAATGTTTGATTTACTCACTAGTGTCTGATCTTACTAATGTCTGATTTACTCACTAATGTTTGATTTACTCACTAGTGTCTGATTTACTCACTAGTGTCTGATTTACTCACTAGTGTCTGATTTACTCACTATTGTCTGATTTACTCACTAATGTTTGATTTACTCACTAATGTCTGATTTACTCACTAATGTTTGATTTACTCACTAATGTCTGATTTACTCACTAATGTTTGATTTACTCACTAGTGTCTCATTTTCTCAGTATTTTTCGTCTGGTTTCAGCCACACTGGCCTTTGTCAGGACAAGAAATGTGTGGTCGTCTGCTTACTTCCTAGTATAATCAGTTTCAGCTGTTGTGTTGAGCTGTCAGGTGTAGCAGAAGTTCTACAAATAAATTATGATCAATAAGATGTGATGATTCCATATAAATACGGAATATCAACCTGATCGATCTTTGAATGTTTAATCAGAAGATTCTAGGGTTGTTTGCTTCTTCAGGGACCATAAACACACTTCGTATGAATTCAGACAGAGTCAGTATGTAGTTTATAAAATGAGTTTAATTCTTTTACCTAAACTAATGATTCATACATGACAAGATATGAATAATGAGATGTGGTGTGGTGGATGTGAAGTGATGTAATGTGATGTGTGAAATGTAATGGAAGCTAGATGTTTTAGCAAAACCATTCTTTGTATCTGAGAAAGTAGTGAAGTCTGGGTTGTAAAAGTATTTGTTGTTTGGTTATAAACTAGAGAGTTGTTTATTTATAAAGGTCATCAGATGTGATCTGTTGTGTCTACTATACCGGTGTGGAGACCCCAGCAGATCCAGACTTTCAAAAGTCAGGTGGACCTCAACCTCAAGGTACCTGGAGCCCATAGATTAGCTCCGATATGACCCATCCTGTCTCAAGATGTCTCCTGAGTGAAGCACCGGAGGTTAGGGTTAGGGTTTGGATGTTTTTGACCTGATGTGATCAATCAACGATGGAATCAATGAAATCTTCCATCACACTCACCCGTTTAGTGGATGGTAATACTAGCTTGATTTTGATGGAATGTGCCTTTACACATTTAGCATTTTAGCTTTTTTCTATATTTAGTTTTGCTCTTCAGTCTGTAAACGCTGATGACCCCAGGGCTTCTAGAGGACTGACTCCTGGTAGACGGGTTGTTTTCTTGATGAACTAAGGAAGGATTTAACTTGTTACATTTTTTGAAAGAAGCTTTGAGTTTAAATTTCATCTACTTGTTTTTTAGATTCAATGAGCTCAGAGCAGAGACAGAAGCTAGCACGGGAGCGAAGGGAGGAGCGAGCTCGATACATTGGTAAGTTAATCTCCTCTCTAAGGTCAGCCTGGAGCATGAAGCAGGGCCTTTTACTAACCTACCAACCCACCCTCAGGACGTCTTTCACCTGCTCTTTCTTTGTTTTTGATGCTCTCAGAACAACAGACTAAACTTCAAGGTAAGGTGCCTCTCTAACGCCACCTATGTTAACCCTTAGTGCTATGCTAACTGTCCCTTGTAATGCACTATGATAACATGTACTACTAAGGTGCAAGCTAAAGCCCAGCACTATGCTGAACCACAACGCTAGTGGTATATGCTAGTTCTATTCTTGTTAGACTAGTGGTGTTTCTCAATGCCAAGGAACCTCGCCTTGATGTCTCGGCCCCGCCCCGGTTGCCTTGGAGATACGTCATCAGGAACCACCAAGGCGTGCTCCAATGTTCATGTTCTACCGAGGCATGTGTTCTCCGTTAGTTAGCCGTTTAGCTAGCTGAGCACATACAGGAGGTGTCTTGTAGCCTAGCCTTGGTCAAAAATTTCCCAGAATGCAGTGCGGTATTTTCAAAAGGAAGGCGGATCAGAAGGCGGCAGCTACTTCGGGGGCAAATTTCAAGTTTAAATGTAAGTCAACTAATTGTAGCTATCGGGCTGCTATCTGAAATGTTTTTTATATCCAAAGCAGTTAGCTGTGGTTGGTTAGTTGCTTAGTAGTTGCAGCTTCATTGGCTAGCAGGTGGTAACTCACTTACATATTTAATTTAACCAACATAAACACAATCATCTTCTTTATTCTTATTTAACACGGAGCAGTAATGAGATGGTTTTTACCTTCAGCTGAGATGTTTCAGCCGGAACTTCCTCCTTCGTCAGAGCCGCCAGCTGTTTGTGGCGTCACTTCCTTTTCTGTGCGGGCAGCAGAGCACAATGTCGCCCGCGTCCTTCATGCTGATAACACAGTCCCATGTGTGATCCACCGTGCTAACACCATCGTCTGTTCATGGTGGTGTGTCTGCGTCTCCTTATCTCCATCGCTTCCTTAATCCATCTTCTGTATTTTTGTTGTTCCTAAAAGGGCCTAACAGCTTTAAAGCTGGCTCTAAGGAACCACCTCTGCTTCAACTTAAGGTGCCGAGACGAGGACACAACACCCACAAGTATGCAATTAAAACCCAGATCAGAACAAACACATAATTCTATTCAATTCTATTCAAATTCAAAGATACTTTATTAATCCCAGAGAGAAATTAGAGTTTCAGTGCACACAATTCTGAGATCAGACATACATACATAGGCATAATGGACCGGACAAGGAAAGCACTTCTCAAAAAAGGACGAGAAACCTCACAATCAAACTAAAACAAATAGAGAACGATCAGGAAAATGGACTCCTGAACTTCCAAACTGGATAAAGCCACAGTGGCAGAAGTAGAAGGAGACATGATGCAACAACAACAAGAACTCACCAAGGTCAAACAAAGACACATAAATAAATAAAACCAACTGATAGACGAGAAAGAGAGAAAATAAAAACAGGACAACACCACACAGAACGCCTGGATAAACAACCTTTCTCCACATAAACGAACAGAAGCAGAAGAGTTTACTGAAGAAGGACTAAATTACACAGGAACACCCCAAAAATACCGTATGAAGAATTCATCGTAGCAACAGAGTTAGCTTGTCGACAAATCGCAGATGAAAGCAATAAAGCAGAAGTAAGGAACAGAATAGTTGGCCTATTAAAAAGCAGCAAACTGCAACATAACAACGTCACGAACCAGAAAGAGCAGCCGTGACGACACGGCCACAAATCAAGACATCATCATCCTGCCAGCTGACAAGGGAAGGACTACAGTAATAATGGACACCTTCAAACAACTAATGGAACAAAAGGAACATTTCCATAAAACATGTAGAAACGATGGATCCCGACGGCAAACGTTATACCGAGATACATAAACAGGAGAGGCAGACACACCACCGTGAACAGAGACGATGGTGTTTACACGCTGGATCACACACGGGACGGTGTTATCAGCATGAAGGGTGCGGGCAGCAGGGGGCGACATCGTGCTCTGCTGCCCGCACATAAAAGGAAGTGACGCCACGAACAGCTGGCGGCTCTGACGAAGGAGGAAGTTCCTGCCGAAATCTGTCAGCCGTTGGTAAAACCGTCTCATTACTGCTCCGTGTTAAATGAGAAGATGATTATGAACCAGCACACAGAACAAATACACAGAAGACGGATATTCACAATTTAAAAAGTAAAAGGCTGGTTTTACACTTATATTGGAAATTATACGTATAAAATATAAGTTAACCTCACGCGTCACGTGGAAGCCGTGGTCACGTGAGGTTAGTCTGTTTCATTAAACCGTTTTCTTTGACCAAGGAAGGACAGTCTTCTAATGTCAAGGCGCCTGGCCTCGCAAGACATTGCCTTGAGAGGCCAGACGCCTTGACATTGCGAAACACCCTAGGTGTGTCCCTAAATTAGGTGAGTCCCTTCACATGAAGGTGTGGACCCTGCAGGACGGATACCCACCTTTACCACAAAGTCCACCCCACCCTAACCCTGACTGCTTGGATTATTTCTGTAATCTGAATCTTATTGAGGTCAGATTGCAGCTGATAAATTGAGCCGAGTTTTACGTCTGCATTTAAGTGAACAAAGTCTTCGTCCTGAGAGAAGATGATCAAACATCCCAGCAACCAGCTGGACAGAGGGGTTGCTGTAATAATCAGCAGAGCTCTGGTAAGCCTCCAGGACTGGCAGATGACAGCCACCTGTCCGCCGAACACGGCCAGCCCAGTGTCCGTTTCTTCCACTGTCACATTCTCAAACCACACAGTAAGCAGGGGCCCCAGACCTGCTGGCCCCCGTGGGCCCACCTTGTGCTCGGGCGGGGCCTTGCAGCTGGTAAGAAGACTGTCAACACACCGATAAAAGTTTAAGAGACATTTTGTTTTCACTTAACTCCCTTAGTGTCCGTAGCTTGGTGAGCCTTTTTAACAATAGTAACGAATGCCACCTAAAGATCATTTGACAGTTACCCCTAAGAATGTGCATCATCAACCCTCTGTCGCTCCGTATCATAAACGACGATAGGCTCATTACTCTTACTGCGGCAAAAATCAAAAACCAATTCACAGGTTTAGCCGTGTTCTCAGCATTCTTCTCTCCAGTGAACAGCTTTGTCTACCTGTGCTCGGTAGTGTCATCCATCATCTAAGGTGATGAGACCAGTGGTAGCGTTGGCATATTAACCAGATTGTTGAAGGGGCAGCACAGTCAGAAGTGTACGACGTAAAAGCAGAGGGCTTAGAAGACGACCCTTGTGGGGAACCAGTACTCACACAAAGGTCACAGAAACGTCATGGAGGTCACAGATGTCTTCCTAGGCAGACTTCTTAAACCTGTGTGGGATCTTGAAGAGGCGAGGGAGAAATGGTTCGTTCTGATGAAGCCATTCCTCCTTACATCTGAATGTTCCAACCATTGGCTGTATAGGGAGCCTGAGCCTCCTCCCTTCCCGGTTGGCTCATTGGTCCCTGAACGAGGTCAAAGCAGCTATTTTCTAATCTGCTTATCTTCACGCCCTGGATGTGTTGTACTGAAATTAAATTAAAAGGAATGATGTGTATGTTGGAGCTCATTGTTGTTTTGTTTACCTCAGGCTTAAGTTTATCGTGATTTATTTCTTCCTCGCTAAAGTTAACTATTTCTGTTTGTAACCTTCGACCGCTAAAAACCACAAATAAAACATGAAACTTGGGTTCCAGAACTAGGTAGCATAAGGTACACACATACTATGTACATCTGGTACTGCACGAGTACTGAACACATACTGAGTATTGCATTGGTGGTATTGTGTACCAGGATGATGCCAGTACCAGCTAAACTGAGGAGGGATGAATGACTTCGGTAGTATTTCTGCGACTTCAGAGGCTGAGTCGGCCGGCGTGACGCGCTCTTTACAAACGTCAGCTGCCATTCCAAACTTGCGTTTCCAAAAACTTTATTAAATTAACTCCAATTAACTTGAAACATAATGCGCTCAATATCATACAGTACAATTATCACAGCGATCAACTGAAGGTCAACAAAAATATGCGGCAACCCGCTCACCCCCTCCTCCTTTTCCCTTATTATCTGAGCAGGTGCTGGAGATGGTGTTAAATCCCCACCCATGATCACCTGACCTGACATCCATCTCCGTTTACAACAAACAAACCCACCAAAAACACATCAGTAAACATGTATGTGCCTCCTATAGGCAGCGTTGTTTTACATCTGGGATGTCTCAGTCTGCCTCTGAAGGAGCTGTCCATGATGTCAGCTGGGCGTGTCTAAGAAGAAATGTTGTTATTCTGTGGGTGATCCAGTGCTGGACCTGTAACTGTCTCATTAATGATGAACTGACAGCTGTGGACAGAAAATCCCTAGCTCTTTTCTCTCTTTATTCCTCCTGCAGCAGCGAAGAAGGCCCAATGGCTGGAGAAGGAGGAGAAGGCTCGGCAGTTGAGGGAGAACCAGCTGGAGGAGCGCAGAAGAAGGCTGGAGGAGCAGAGGATGAAGGCTGAGAAGCGTCGAGCCCTGCTGGAGGAGAAGCAGAAACAGAAGCTAGAGAAGAACAAGGTGGTGGCTTCGGGTCTTCCCAGGACACCAGGATCGGATTTTATTAGGATTACGAAGTTCACCAGAAACAAAACTACGTTTGAGGAGAGCTCTGATGTGTTTGACCGTTTGTTCCTGCAGGAGCGATACGAAGCAGCAATCAGAAGGTCAACCAAAAAAACGTGGACTGAGATCCGCCAGCAGAGGTGGTCCTGGGCGGGGGGACTCAACCAGACCTCACGTAGAGAAAGTGAGTTTTACCTGAACCTGGCAGAAAAGCGAGCTCACCACAGTAACTCTAGTGTCTCTGTTGCACAGGCTGTGAATTAGCCTGCAGCATGGGCGGGGCCTCAGACCCGCATGGGCCCACCTAGTGCTCTGGCAGGGCCTCAGACCCGCATGGGCCCACCTAGTGCTCGGGCGGGGCCTCAGACCTGCGTGGGCCCACCTAGTGCTCTGGCGGGGCCCAGTGCCCACCTAGTGCTCAGGCGGGGCCCAGTGCCCACCTAGTGCTCAGGCGGGGCCTCAGACCCGCGTGGGCCCACCTAGTGCTCTGGCGGGGCCCAGTGCCCACCTAGTGCTCAGGCGGGGCCCAGTGCCCACCTAGTGCTCTGGCGGGGCCCAGTGCCCTCCTAGTGCTCTGGCAGGGCCCAGTGCCCACCTTGTACTCAGGCGGGGGCCTCAGACCCGCGTGGGCCCACCTAGTGCTCTGGCGGGGCCCAGTGCCCACCTAGTGCTCTGGTGGGGCCCAGTGCCCACCTAGTGCTCAGGCGGGGCCTCAGACCCGCGTGGGCCTACCTAGTGCTCTGGCGGGGCCCAGTGCCCACCTAGTGCTCTGGCGGGGCCCAGTGCCCACCTAGTGCTCTGGTGGGGCCCAGTGCCCACCTAGTGCTCAGGCGGGGCCCAGTGCCCACCTAGTGCTCAGGCAGGGCCTCAGACCCGCGTGGGCCTACCTAGTGCTCTGGCGGGGCCCAGTGCCCACCTAGTGCTCTGGTGGGGCCCAGTGCCCACCTAGTGCTCAGGCGGGGCCTCAGACCCGCGTGGGCCTACCTAGTGCTCTGGCGGGGCCCAGTGCCCACCTAGTGCTCTGGCGGGGCCCAGTGCCCACCTAGTGCTCTGGTGGGGCCCAGTGCCCACCTAGTGCTCAGGCGGGGCCTCAGACCCACGTGGGCCCACCTAGTGCTCTGGCGGCACCATAGTGTGGTTTGTTTTCTCTGAGTTTCTTTTCGCTGTCTGGTTCGGTGAGTCAGACATGATGATGGTCCTGAATACGTCAGCCGGTTAAACTAACTGCATACCCCTCCATTTTTCCCAAAGTCCGAGTTAGGAATGAGTGATGTGAGTTGGACCTTGGAGCATGCTGACAGCTGTGTGGTTTGGAGTGGGGGGCTGGGGGGGCCACCGCCCACCGGGCTCCTGCTGAACAGTTGTTGTGTGTTGCGTTCTCTCTGGTGCAGGCAGATGCTCGGCCTCTACAGTCAACTTGCCGAGACAGGTGGACCCTGTCCTTAACAACAGGCTGTCCAAGTCCTCCGCCACGCTCTGGAACTCTCCCAACATAAGTAAGATGAGCCAACATTGGTGTCCACCAGCCCCCCATCACCCCCCCTCACCCTAACCTGGTTTTCTTTGGCTGTGGTCTGTGGTGGCCTGCCTGCCTGTGCTTGGTGACTGGTCCTCATCCTCCCGTCTCGCTCTCGGCCCTGTTGCATTGTGGGTTTTGATTTTAGTTGTGTTTGATTTGAGTCTTTTGCATTTTGATCACCTGTAAATCACCGGTTTATTTGTGTTGGATGAGCTCACATCCTGTCTGTCTTTGGTGTCTCCCTCCATGCCTCTGTTGCTCCTGGCGATGGTTTATCTGTGGAAACGTCGGGTAAAATGTCAGATTTTAGGCTCTGGTGTCCTCTGGATGCTTGTGTAGGATAACCAGGATCAGCCTTAAGGTGGAGCTATTTGTGGTCACTAGCTAGCATTTACTCAGAGACCTTTTGATTTGTTTAGGGTTAAACAGCAGCGAGTTACCTGTGAGTCGCTAGCCACCTAACCTGGTAAACGTAAGTTTGAGTTATTCCACCAGCGTCAGGGCAGCTAAACACGTTAGCTGAAGTCGACCCTGAAGGGTGTAAAGTAGTTGTTCAATCTCAGCTGATCTTATTGTGTCAAAGAGCAAAATAATAATAGTTAGTGAGGATTAAAGTTGGTTTTCATGGCAACAGACCGTTCTGCTGAACTTATAGATCCTGCTTCCACCATAGCAGGCAGGTGGAGGTGATGCAGGTTCCACCTTCAGGTGAACGGTCGATGTCCAGGTACCAGCTGAGCTGCTGCACTGTAGGAGGAGGCTGAAGGAGATGCTGTAGCCTAGCAACAGGAGGTAGTGAGGTGTAACGCTGAGCTGAGACCTTCTGCAGCAGAGTGATTACATCTTCCTGTGTGTGTGTGTGTGTGTGTGTGTGTGTGTGTGTGCGTGTGTGCGTGTGTGTGCGCGCGCGTGCGCGCGCGTGCGTGTGTGTGTGTGTGTGTGTGTGTGATAGAGAGAGACCACATATTGACAACACCCTCTCCTGTTAGCCCGCAGCCTGCGTCTGAGCCCGTGGGAGAGCCGTATCGTGGAGCGTCTGATGACGCCAACGCTATCCTTCCTAGCCCGCAGCCGTAGTGCTGCCACCCTCCTGAACAACAGCGACTCCTGTGAGTGTGTGTGTGTGTGTGTGTGTGTGTGTTACCCTAACTCAGGGGTCACCAGCTGTTGAGCAGCTGAGAGCTCGTACTGAGCCATATGAAGGGCCTCTCTGTAGCTCAGGACCATAGACTACCTTCTGGACTTCTACTTGTCCACTGGTCCACTTGTGTCCCTCTCATTCACACACATGGCTTCTGTCTCCAGTCCACACCTCCACCTCTCTAGCTTCTCCACCTCCACCCTGCTCTCACTGCAGATCATGGAGAAACCTGTCTCACATTTTCTGTCTTTCTGTCCACCAACGTTAAAAAGCAGCTTAGAGATGATACTTGATGCAGCCTCACCTCCAGCTGGAACCCCTCTGTCACTCCTGTCTCACACCCCCCATGCTGTCTCACACCCCCCATGCTGTCTCACACATCCCTGCTGTCTCACACCCCCCATGCTGTCTCACACTTCGCTGCTGTCTCACAGCTCCCTGCTGTCTCAGGTCTACCTGCTGTCTCATGCCTCCCTGCTGTCTCACACCTCCCTGCTGTCTCACACCTCCCTGCTGTCTCACACCCCCCATGCTGTCTCACACTTCGCTGCTGTCTCATGCATCCCTGCTGTCTCACAGCTCCCTGCTGTCTCAGGTCTACCTGCTGTCTCATGCCTCCCTGCTGTCTCACACCTCCCTGCTGTCTCACACCCCCCATGCTGTCTCACACTTCGCTGCTGTCTCATGCATCCCTGCTGTCTCACAGCTCCCTGCTGTCTCAGGTCTACCTGCTGTCTCATGCCTCCCTGCTGTCTCACACCTCCCTGCTGTCTCACACCTCACTCCTGTCTCACACCCCCCATGCTGTCTCACACCCCCCATGCTGTCTCACACCTCCCTGCTGTCTCATGCATCCCTGCTGTCTCACAGCTCCCTGCTGTCTCAGGTCTACCTGCTGTCTCACACCTCCCTGCTGTCTCACACCTCCCTGCTGTCTCACACCCCCCATGCTGTCTCACACTTCGCTGCTGTCTCATGCATCCCTGCTGTCTCATGCCTCCCTGCTGTCTCACACCTCCCTGCTGTCTCACACCCCCCATGCTGTCTCACACTTCGCTGCTGTCTCATGCATCCCTGCTGTCTCACAGCTCCCTGCTGTCTCAGGTCTACCTGCTGTCTCATGCCTCCCTGCTGTCTCACACCTCCCTGCTGTCTCACACCCCCCATGCTGTCTCACACTTCGCTGCTGTCTCATGCATCCCTGCTGTCTCACAGCTCCCTGCTGTCTCAGGTCTACCTGCTGTCTCATGCCTCCCTGCTGTCTCACACCTCCCTGCTGTCTCACACCTCACTCCTGTCTCACACCCCCCATGCTGTCTCACACCCCCCATGCTGTCTCACACCTCCCTGCTGTCTCATGCATCCCTGCTGTCTCACAGCTCCCTGCTGTCTCAGGTCTACCTGCTGTCTCATGCCTCCCTGCTGTCTCACACCTCCCTGCTGTCTCACACCCCCCATGCTGTCTCACACCCCCCATGCTGTCTCACACTTCGCTGCTGTCTCATGCATCCCTGCTGTCTCACAGCTCCCTGCTGTCTCAGGTCTACCTGCTGTCTCATGCCTCCCTGCTGTCTCACACCTCCCTGCTGTCTCACACCCCCCATGCTGTCTCACACCTCCCTGCTGTCTCACAGCTCCCTGCTGTCTCAGGTCTACCTGCTGTCTCATGCCTCCCTGCTGTCTCACACCTCCCTGCTGTCTCACACCCCCCATGCTGTCTCACACCTCCCTGCTGTCTCACAGCTCCCTGCTGTCTCAGGTCTATCTGCTGTCTCATGCCTCCCTGCTGTCTCACACCTCACTCCTGTCTCACACCCCCCATGCTGTCTCACACCCCCCATGCTGTCTCACACCCCCCATGCTGTCTCACACCTCCCTGCTGTCTCACACCTCCCTGTTGTCTCACACATCCCTGTTGTCTCACACCTCCCTGTTGTCTCACACCTCCCTGCTGTCTCACACCCCCCATGCTGTCTCACACCCCCCATGCTGTCTCACACCTCCCTGCTGTCTCACACCTCCCTGTTGTCTCACACATCCCTGTTGTCTCACACATCCCTGTTGTCTCACACCTCCCTGTTGTCTCACACCTCCCTGCTGTCTCACAGCTCCCTGCTGTCTCACACCTCCCTGCTTTCTCACAGCTCCCTGCTGTCTCACACATCCCTGTTGTCTCACACATCCCTGTTGTCTCACACCTCCCTGCTGTCTCACAGCTCCCTGCTGTCTCACACCTCCCTGCTGTCTCACACCTCCCTGTTGTCTCACACATCCCTGTTGTCTCACACCTCCCTGCTGTCTCACACCTCCCTGCTGTCTCACACCTCCCTGCTGTCTCACACCTCCCTGCTGTCTCACGCCTCCCTGCTGTCTCACACCTCCCTGCTGTCTCACACCTCCCTGCTGTCTCACACCTCCCTGCTGTCTCACACCTCCCTGCTGTCTCACACCTCCCTGCTGTCTCACACCTCCCTGCTGTCTCACACCTCCCTGCTGTCTCACACCAAGGGTGAATTGTTCTATTTTTAGCACAAACCTGAGGGAACGTAATAGGGTTCCTGTGGCCCAGGTTGGTGACCCCGGCTCTAACTCTTACACTGCTCCTGTTCAGCCTCAGCCAGCCCGTTTGGCTCCTCCTTCCATCAGCATCAGAACTCAGCTGAGCGCTGGAGAGTTTCCTCTGCCAGCACGCCAGACATCACGCAGCGGCAGCGCCGACAGAACTCCACACCGGTGAACACACACAATGATCATCTTTTGATTTCAATGTAGAGGTGTGTTTGTGGTTTTGGTTCCTAGAGACTCTTGTAGGCATCTTTGGACAGCTTCAAGCATCTTAGATGTGTAGGGTCAGAACCTAACCCACACCCTGACCCAAAGCTCCAGGTCCCTCATTCATCAACCGTACTTAAACCCAGCAGAACCGTTTTACACACCGCGTGGTGTTCAACCCTTTTATTTAAAGCTGCTTTTTACTAAACCGTTTATTTTCTTATTTTAATTCAAATTTTTAATCTTTCATCTGTTTATGAACATTTTGGTTTCATGACTTTATTTAGTTTTGATCTGTGAAGCACTTAGTGATGCTGCCTGTGATGAGTGCTGCAGAAATAACATCTACTCACACAGCAGCACGTGGCCAGGAGTGTGCGAGGCCATTCAATGCCTTCTAGACGAAGAGTACATTTTTGAATTGCCCCCAGAAGGTCACGGGCAGCCGGAGCATTCCTAAACATCAGATCAGCTCTGGCTGAGCGTACCAACAGCAGCTAGTGGTGGAACGACAGAACCACACCACTGAAGCTCTCCGTCATCCACGCATACAACTCCCGACCACGTTCGCCACCTCTAAGCTCTTCTCCAGGCAGCGTTCCGTCTTCTGCTGGTTCTCCCTGAGCCGAGAGAACTTCATCTTCAGCTACCACAGCCTCAGTCTTGCTGTCACTCAAGGTTTTTTCTTTCTTCAGGAGGAACTCAGGCGTCTGTTAGAGGACGTGGAGTGACCAGATCTGGTCATTGAGGGTGTTTCTGTGTGAAATGACCTGTCGACTACTGAGGAGCATGCGTACGAGAGGCCACCACACGTGTCATGAATCGGGATTTTGGCCGTTTGTTCGTACATTTCATTTGTTGGAGAGTTTCGACCAACGTTTGAAGAATGAGGGTCCTGGTCTGACAGCAGAAGCAGCGTGACTTTGATCTTCATCCACGATGTTTCCGCTTCCTGTTTTGATTATATTTTTTCTTCTAGGTGGAGAAGAAGAAGAAGGAGAAGAAGGACAAGGAGCGAGAAAATGAACAGGAGAAGATTGCTCTGACCAAAGAGAGAGTGCAGAAGAAGAGACCGATGACATCATCACCAAGCGCCACCAACCAGAGATTCAGGCCTGAGAGCAGGTACTGAACTTGCTTTGTTGTGATGTGGAACAGCAGGAGGAGCAGGAGGAGAACACCTCCTGCTCCTCCTGCTGAAGGCCTTCAACCTCGAACGACCTCACCTTCATCATCCTCAGAGGTAAAAAGGCCAGTGGACCTCTCTTGTTGTTGATGCTTCATCATCCAGAAGGTCTCTGCAGTCAAAAATGGAGAGGTTCAGATGGTCGGAGTCTATAGACCAGTGGTCTCATTTATCATACATGGCGTAGAATCCTTACTAAAACCGTACTTAAGCTCAGCAAAACAAAAGTACTTACGCCAAGCAGGTGTGTGACCTATCAAACATGGAGGACGCACAGCTGCACGCTATCTCCGCTTCATAAGTCAGAGACTAATGAGAATGTTTCTCAGCTGCTTTTTAGTCACATCCCGCCCTCACCACGCCCACTTACTGCCATAAATGGTCAATGCAAAGTGCCTTGTGGACCTCATGCATGTACATAAGCCGGCTGTTGCAGCGCTCCACCAATGACATGGCGACCGTAGATCAAGGCAGATCAAGGAAGCGCTATTTCACAAGCAGAAGTTGAGGTACCTGTGGGTGAGGTGGAGAAATGACAGGAAGTGCTTTTGCAAAACTAATAAGAGAAAATCCACGGAGTGGCACAGCGTTGCTGAAGCCGTCAATGCTGACTTCTTCAGAGAGATCTGTGGCGGATATAAAAAATGGTCCAATCAGGATTCGATCCCCAGACTCCCGGGTGAACGTCACGCGCACCAACCAGTCACATGATCAATCAGGTCACAGTGACAGGACACACACTGTCACACACGCATGATGTTCTGTCTCAATCTGTCCCCCTGCTGGTATT